ACAAACAGACAAGTTTGAGTCAATTCAAAAATAATTCAGAATCACTTTTTGAACCGACTGCTACCATAAAAGATGGGCCTATCTTAACTCCTTCCGGATGCTACGTACGTCCGCATAATTTTTGTGTACCCCGCACCATGCTTAATAGCTAAATACAAATTTTTGTTCTTGTTTGAAGTCAACAAACTTGAGGTTAGACTTCAGAATACCGATAAGTGCCAAAGTCAATTTCACGTTTATGTGTGATTGCTTTGTGAGGTCTTTGCGATGTTGCTGGGAATACCGTTGTTAACCGGGAACATCAAATTTGATACAATCTCGCCAAAAGTTTTCGAAAAAAAAACAAAGACAAAAACCCCTATGATTAGTGATCGTTCCCTGTGTAAAAATAGTTACTATACAAAGGTTGAACGTCCTAATTTTTGGTTCGTGATATGATGCTTCTTGGCATTCTGTCACATCTATGAAATTTAAAAAAGAAAAAGTGAAACAAACCTAGAGCCACGAACACTATATTCATCTGATACGCATCGAAGTGACTACATACCTTGCCCGTGAATCCGCTTCGTGTTAATTGTTTTAGGGTAAGAGACCCTAGCAGCTTTATGGGCTGTACTTGGAAAGACGCTCTAATTTAAAAAGCAAAAGTCGAGTGGCATGAAACTTCTCTCAGATTTTAATGGTCGTTGCACTTATTCAGGAACAAGGCTTTACAATGACACTAGAAACGCGTAGAACGAACGGATAGAAAGATAGGCCGATAAAATTCGCTGTAAAAGCTAACATTGCATGAGAATGGACGCATTTTAAAGAGTTCCTTTTGGGCCTTCTAAACGGAAAGACAAATATAACGTATAAAAAAACCGCACATCTTACGTAATTATCTTAAACGGTTTATATGTAAGGTTCGCTTCAAAGCGGCAATCTTTACTTGCCCTCTAGATCTACGCGCACATTTTAGTGGAAAAGCTAACTTAAGTCAATTTCATCGATTTGTTTGTACACTTTTGTGAAAATGCAATTAGCCTTCGTAGCCTTACCGCTTGTACAGTAGCTAACAGCCGCACTTGAATAGAAAATGGTTTTAATTAACACACAAATAAACTTTTTCATCTATGCATTTACGCGATTAGTTCTAATGGTTACTCTGTTAGATTAAACCGCTTGATTGGTTAGTTAAACTTTAAAGAGACTCAATAATTGAATGTGACTTAACTCATCTAAAATACGAATTTATTGAAAAAAAATTTTGATATTTACAAAATTTAGTAGTAGTTGCTGCAGTTGGCCTTGTTGTTAACTTTGTGTTCTCATGGCTATGAAAGTTTATCTTCTCGAAATATTTTTCTTTACTATATTTTCACGAAAATCCCAACTGCTGATATCAAATAAAAATCGTAAATTATTTGCTGATACTTAAAAGCAAAAACCGAAACGACCATCTAGCGCATTGTATTCGCGACTGAAGAAACTTATGCATTTGAAGGGATTCTTTCATATTATTATTACAATCTTTAGACTAAAAAGAAAAAACATTGAGTCGAAAAAAACGTGGGCTATCGCTCACGATGAAATACCCAAAACCACTTTGCTGAATATAGTGTTTTCATGCAACGACTTCTTAAGATAAAGGCTTACGTTGAAAGTGGTCGCAACGTGGTCCGATCTGAACCATTTTCAACAGCGTGCATCTTTGGGCTAAGACAAATTCCAAATTCCATCAAAATATATCGATAATAGCGGCTTGCAGATTGAACACAAGGAAACAAGACGGACAGACAAGCTTAGATCAATTCAGAAAGTGACTTTCTTTCTAGGCGCTGCATACGTCCGCACAAACTTAATATGCACTTGTACCGTAAGTGAGGTAGAATATAAAATATGTAAATATTTCAAATACAACGCAGAAGAAAAAGAAAAAATTGATAATTTGAAATAATGTCGAATCTAGCTCGACATAGTAGTTAGTATAAGAAATATAGTCATGGAGAATGTCGACACATGGTCGACGAAGAGGAAAAAGTTAAGACTTACATTTTCGTACATAAAAGTGTTCGTAGGAAGAAGTCCCTTCTTTCTTTCTTTTTTTACAATAAAATAAAGAGGTTTGCGTGCACACAAGGTCATATTAGTTAAGTTAGTCTTTAAGGAACCCTACTATTAATTAATTCATTGCTCGAACGATTGACTATATAATAAACCAATAATAATATATGGAATACTGTTAGTTTATGTAGAGGATGGTCAAAACCATCGAATTCATTCGTTATGTACACTGGTATTTCCCATTTCTTTATCATTTTCACCTGTGGAAGTCGCTGATCAAAATTTTTGCAAACACCTCATATATCAATTTCATATACTGTTGCCGTGTTAATGAGACGAGCATATTATAAACGAAGCGTAAAGCAAACATTCGTTATGCAAATGATCGAATAGTTTTTTAGGCAATTTTGTATTTCAGCCAAAAATTGTTTAGCACATACTGACTGAGCGATGCAATATAAAGTTATGTCTCACATGTGCAAAATTGCTTAGGGACTTGTTATGCTTGTATTTTTGTATTATGCACACGAAAAGAGTGATGTTTGGAATTTTGTTTTAAATGCAACTTGGGAAATTAAGTGACATCAGTATGACAATCGGCTAGTGATGTGTTGCTCTCATTCTTGTCATAACAATAGGAATTCAAACAAGTGAAAACACTATGGGTAGGCAAGACCCACTATTCGATACCCTAAACTACTTGGCCTAATACTATCCTTCATATATTTTCATGATGAAATGCCAGAAATTAGATATTGCTTCTATGTAAAAGCATTATTTTCCTGGGGGTCCTTATCTAGGAACAACTCGAAAATGTTCATCAATGCGGTCTAAATTTAGCAAAATTAATTTTCTTTTCAAAGATCGTATTATTGTTCATTCGCTTTCATCAAAAATTACTAAAAGTGAAAGTTTGCTCGAACGCTTATATAAAGTGGGGGCCGCAAGACCGATCTTGTGGTACAATTAAATTATATGTAAAATTCTGACATGGGGGAACTTTCATCATAAAACATATGCTTTATAAAGGCTTCCATTCTTAGGAAAGGGGAAAGAGAGGCCTATTCGAAGCAAATTTTTCAAATCAATTTATTACGAAGAAATACCACTAACCGATTTTTATCGAGAAATTTTGAAAATTGCAATTTTTTTCATACAACTACGTTTTCAAAATAATATCTTATCTGGGTAAGGAAGGTCCAACTAGTTCGATTCAATTCATTTCCGAAACTGTTTCGTGTTTTGACCAAAATTTGCCGCCAGTTTAAATCAGTTCAGAAAATGGCCTTGAATCGATCGGCCTAATAAAATGTAAACCCGTCTTAAGCCCTTCTCTCTGTCACATGCATCTACGCAAACCTAATATGCCCTATGCCAATATTAGTGTAGAGTATAAAAAGAACATTTTCAAAACACTGGTATACAAATTTGCATACGACTGCTCTCTCTGCAGTTAATTTAAAACTAAAGGTATGAGAGTTCGTCTTGATAATGCTACAACGCTTTATTGCTCCAGTATCTTTATGTATGTAGTAACGGCACAATTTTTCACATCTCTCCACTCTTCCACTCTTTTATTATATGCTTATAAACCACAGCATCCTTACATTCTAATTACTGCAATAACCGTTTAACACATTGTGACAAATACGCGCTTAGGAAGGATTTTAGCAAAGTAATTCGATATTCTACGTTTTAATATAAGCAGAAATTCAGCAGTGTTTTTTTCCCCCGCTTCATACATCAAACGAGTATGTATAGTTGGGCAAGACAAGCCATTAGATATCCTACAACATTGCGCTTAGTATAATTAGTCACTCATTTTGGCGATAAGATAATAAAATTTACACATTATTCGCATCCACAGGCATTCTTTCCATGAAAGCCCGCATATCGGAGGATACCCATAGACATCATACGGCGTGATCCAAATTTAACAAACCTAATTTACATCCAAAAAATCTTATTTTTCAGTTCCTGCCATAAAAAACTAGAAATTAAACCTTCTGTGCATATGAAAGGTTGCTTTTCATGATAGCCCCTATATATGTCGGGGTCTAACAAATAGACCTCTCTGATCCAAATTCCCTACAGTCAATTTTCTTTCTCAATTACTACAGCGGATCAATTTCCATCAATAAATATTAAAAATTTAAACTTTTTTTTTTTTTGGAACTTTCTATTCATGAGAAATCTTATATGGAATCGAATCGAAGAAACGGACCCATTTGATTCAAATTTGGCTCACTTCATTTTTATGCCCAATTACTATCACCAAACAATTTTCATCATAAAAAATTTACATTTCCTGCGAAGTGATATCTAACCTACGTCAAATTATGTAAGTTTGATTTCTTTGTCTTTTTATTATTACGAATCAATTGTCACCATGAAATATTGAAAATTAGATTTTTTTGGCTGTATAAAGATTCGGTTTTCGTAGGAGGGTTTATCTAAGAGGGAAGTCAAAAAATTACTTCAGGCGAACCACGTTTTTCATATCAATTTAGAATGTCGAAATACAATTACTCGGGACTTTTGGGGAGAAAATTGCAATTATTTTTCATATTACGGCTTTTCAAAGAAAGAAAGTTCGAAAAAGTCGACCAATCCGAACCATTAAGAATAGCTTTCGTCTTTGGATCAAAGCTCATCAAAATATTTCAAAAATTGCGACTCGTAGGTTATACAAGCAGCGCAGACATCTGAACGACAGACAAGCTTAGATCTTCCCGAAAGTAATTCTGAATCAATCGTTATAATGAAAGTTGGGTCTATCTTAAGCCCTTCTGGTACATAGGCATAGTTAGTATACTCTGTACCCCAAGCTGTGTAGAGTATAAAAAAAAATTAAAACGATTAAATAGTCAAAGACGTTTATTAAATACGCCAATTCGGATAACATAATTCTTCTTCTTGTGTTTGTAACAAATTATATGCTGTATGTAATTAATACTAAACGCTATAATATCCATAAATATAATAAAATACAAAAGTAGAGCTCCTTACAATATAACGGTTTACTCTTCATGAGAACCTTTTTATAGGGAGGAGCTCAAAAAAAAGAAAAAATATATATAAAATTAGATCAAACTTATATATAAGACCGTAAATACAAATTACTATTTTGCACCAGTTACCGTCATAATATACTAAAAACTAACCCCTGCTGTGAAAGGTAAAAGGCAACATATTACTTTTCTCCGATTTTTATCGAGAAATATTGAAAAAAGTACATTTTTTCGTATGACTTTTTCAAAATAGGGTTTGATTTGTGGGATAGGTTTAAAATGATCCGACTAAACGCATTTTCAACAGCGTTCACACTTGTGGCAAATTTCACAAGATATCAAAATATCTCGAAAATTGCGACGTCTAGGTTGAACACAAAAATGCCTGCACAGAAACCGCAAAGGCAGTCGGACAGCTAAGTTTCAGAAAGTGAATCTGAATCATTTGATATAAGTGATGACATATGTGATCATTTCCCATAAAATTCGATATGCAAGTAGCTCCAAAGGTCTGTCATTGTTAAATTTGTTAAAATATGTTACTCAACTTAAGCTTTCGATTAATCGATCGTCCAGGATCGTTTACTTTATGAGCATATAAGTTAAATATATAGTTTTCTCACTTCAACTTTTCACTTAAACTGTAGGCTAAAGTTCTTTTGAATCTAATGTAAACTTACTATTGTTTGTAATTTTCATTAAAAATTAAAAAATAGTAAAAATATGTGAAGTTAAAAATATGTAAGTAGAAAGAAAAAGAAGTAAAAACAGGAGCATATATGTAAATATACACATATATATATATGTGCATGTGTGCATATATCTACGCTACGAAAATCAATCAGGATTTTTTAGCGTTACTTGCCTTGCCTTGTCGCAGGGTTTGGCTAATAAATCTGACTTGGTAGACACTGGAATGTTATTAGAAATTGCTTTGTTTCTTAAGTTAACATCTTCGGTCAGTAAAATTGTGTTTGGTATATGTAGCATCACTTGTAAACAAGAGTTGATAATGCTGTCGTCAGGTGAAGAGATTTTTATCATATACTGACACTCATCAATGGCACATTGCGCTTGCAAGTGCGGCGATTTACTTTGAAATTTTTCATTCAAGAATTTAATGGCGCGTATAGCTAAAATTTTTACTCCCCTTTGAGCGCCAGATCTTTGCTTTAATTTGTCTAATTCATGTAGCACACAATAAGGGATAAATAAAACCGACCCTTGGGTATCGCAAAATTTCATCTTAAGAGTGGCTTCAACAAAGCTTATATCCCGTAAGAGTACATTCGTATCCAACACGAAGTAATAGTATTTGTTTAACCATTTATTGTCAATTTTTTTTCCATCGGCAGATATACGCAACAGATTTTCATTCATGGTATCGTATACGTCCCCCTTAGTTCCCATTTTAAACGTAGTAATATCCTCTTTCCTCGGTGATATCATCCTTTGGCCAGCGTACGAAACATCTTCCTGCCTTTTTTCGCGTTCTATATTTTCTACAGATTCCCAATCCGTGGGTTCTTCTCTATGCGTGGATGTTGTTGCAAAGAATTCATTGCAATTATTGCGGGTATTGCAATTAATATCCCAGACCTTCAATGGAGCTGGACCTTTCCCGCCTGCTGCTCGTTGTTGCAAGAATTCTTTTAAATTCGCCAAACGTTTATTCGCAGACGCTTTCTCATAGCCGACAATCGCTGCGGGGTTACGAACCCCATGCAGCGATTTTGAAAATTTTTTTTCATTCAATCTTTTCAAGGCTTTATATGTTTTATTTGGATGTGCTATTACTTTATCCACAACTAGATTATTATTATTGTCTTCATTTGCATTGCTGAACTGTACAGTTTTCCTTGCGCCAGAAGCAATTTTCGTTTGGCAAGATTGCTTTATTTTATTTGCAAAACTTTTACCGAGGCACGATAAAGTTGTTTTACACGAATGTTCCGATGCTTTGGTTTGATAATTTGTAGATGTTTTTTGGGTCGTCTCAGTTCGTAATACTTTTGCAGGCCTTAATATTGTGGGATCCTGCGTTGAAGATTTACGTTTTTGTGCACTTTTCGGCGCAGCCGTTCCAGTCGTTTCTTCAATTTTTTTAATTGATTCTGATGGTGCGGAGGAAGTCAAACTTAAAAAACCATTCTCTGCTTCTATTTCATTCTGGCACCATGATCCTTGTGTGATATAATTGATTGAAGATTGCCATGGATTCATTTTAAGTGTGGCCTGCAATTGTTCTAAACGTTTTTGAATGGGTGAATTTAAAGGAACTTGGTCATTACGACACGAATTCCATTTAACAGGTGATTTTTCAAATAAATAACTCCGATCTGGACAACCTTTAAGAGCACATTTCTCCCACTTGTCAATGCTTGCTTCCCTTGCCGCCATTCAATATTTTAACCCGCCGTCACAATGAATTATAAAAATCGCATTTGTGTTGCTTTATTGAAATATTAGAAATACATTTTGAATTCAATGAAATAATTTCCAAATACGAAAGCTATATTTAAACAGTTAAAATAACACTCACATGATATTTTTAAATTGATGCTGCACAGAAACTGCTTAACAATTATTACAAATATATTCTCGATGTTTCTATTTATCGTAAGATCAAGTGGAAAAAAAATAAAATTTATCTCGACCACTTTTCGTTAATATTGTAACAAAAGCGTTAATGCAAAAACAATTACATTAAAGTCAATTGATTGTACTGCGACGACAAATGATTATACATTTGAAAAGATTTCGACGAACATTCTCTTATAAGGAATATTCTATACTATTATTAACCGATTTTACTTCGACCTGCAATCTCTCCATTGAACATAAGCAATAACTGATTACTTTTGCCTTAGCAATACGAAAATCAAAAGCTTTAAAACCCGCCGCTTTTTATGCAGCAGTGGCGGTATAATTTGGAACAGAATAGAATGGAACATAAACCTTGAAAACAAAAACCTTTTGTCATTTTTGCAAAAAAGTTAATTTTGTCAATTAGATAAGAATGTAATGTACGTATAATGCATATAAAACATGAAAAATACAGCGATTCTCTAGAAATCATGTCAAATGAATTCAATTTTGATTGATTTGTTGGGGAACATTTTCGGATTTCACAAAAAGATTAAGTGAAAATTAAATTGCTTTCATAATACATGATTGTGTTTTTAATGGTAATCATTTTTTTTGGTGTTTTTTTAATCTTCAGGTGGTAACTGTCCTGAATCATTAGATTAGAAATTTATTTACATATCTCAGCGAATTTTCGATTGTTGTTTTGTTCAAAAACAAAGAAGAAGGAGTTGGAAGTTTAATTTTCGGCAGCGATCTGTTTCTTTCCTAAAGCTATTTTATTAATTTTTACGTTTTTGAGTCAATTAGATTTATCCCTAATTGAAGCTCAGTTATTGATTTGCTGACTCGAAGAAGAATATTTTCTTAGAGGATTGCTGAAGAATCTACGCTATTTCAGTTTTGATCTTATTATTATTTATTGTGCGAACAAAATCCTAAAATTTCCTTAAAGAATGCTAAGAAGAACGAATTTAATTCCACTAAAGAGCAGGAGATAAATTGTGCTTTGAGTAACTAAAGTTACGTGTGCTGCAAGTCCGGGATTTCAAAAAATATCTTAAGATATGTAAAAAGCAATAAAAATGATTTCTTGCTTGATAATAAAATAAATAAAAACACAAACATTGAACAAATTGGCGATAATGATCTTTGAACTGTTGAAAAAACAAAGTCTGCAGATCAGCCGTGAAATCATTTTCCAAAATGTTAGGAGCAACAAATACTGCAGTTTTCGTTGTATTTATTGCCAACGTAGTGGGTGCTTTAAGTTTAGTTTTATGAAAGATGAAATGGAATGTTTGATTTTAAAACTGAAAAACACGTTGCTCAAAGGAGACATAGCAGAAGACTTTTCCTGAAATGATAGATAGAAGCTTATAACTGAATCTGAAAGGGCAAGTGTCTTAAGGCGTGGGAGTTAACAGCATTGCCAGCTAAAAAATAATCTATAGGAAAGAGGGATGCCAGGTTTTCGCCACACTGTTTATTTGCAGAATGATACTAGTAACATAGTGCGGGATACACATTTTTAGGATGTCTTCGATCCCATTTTTAAATATTTTAGTTTAAAAGTATAAAAAAAATTTGCAAAGTAACGTTACACCTTAATAATTACATATTTACTGGCATGCGAAAGCGTCATGAATAGTCTGCACTCGTATACTACAAAAGGCTAGTCATGATAAGTACTACATTGCGAAATTTACTACATCTACATTATATGTATAGATATGGCCAACAAATTAGATAGAACATATGTGCTTAGACCAACATCGAAGAATGATTTGACTATGGCGTTTAATTTAAAAGATATACAAGCAAGTTAAAATTGGTGAAAACGCCTTTCTCTTCCCTTTATAAAAGATAGACGGTTTCAAATAGCTTTGGTATTTTAAAACATCTTCTATTAAAAATTCTAGCCAACCGCCCTGATACGATTTACGAATCTCCTAAGGAACAAGATACACTTGTGATTGCATCATTGTTCATTTCATGGAAACGTTCCTTGTCTTTCTTCGTGGTTTGCATAATTTTTTTGCTTACTGCCATTTTCCGTAGTAATTTTATTGAATGCAAATTGAAGTCTGTCTCATCAGTTGTTTGAATCCAAGATTGTTGTCAAATTCAGCAATGTAGTTAAATGCATTATGTAAGAATTGTTTTCGATCAAACGAAATTTGCACAACAATCATTTTCGATTAAAACTTTATACATAGCTCACACAATACAACAAATGTACATAAACTTCAATTCGATTGCAATGTCAAAATTCCGTTACGAAATACAAGTTTAATGTATGTCTCGTTCACTCCCTAAATCATCCAATTGTTTCCTCATCCAAATGGAATTTTATTCGATATTTTGCATTTCGTCAGTAAACATAAAGCGTGTGTGTAAGCGTGTGTGTGCATAGTAAATTAATTCAAATGGATTTTGTCACAAAAGAACAACATTTGAGTTTGAATATTTTCTTAATGCATTTATGAAAACATTTAATTACAACATTTACGATATTGTACGTAAAAGAATTAATGTAAAACATCTTTATATGTTTGGCGGATGATTACTCCTACGCTGCGCTTATACTGAAAATTTCTCTCCGACTTTGACAAATAATATTACCTGCGGGTATCAAATGATTAATTTTGACAGTTCTTTGTTTGCATATAAACAAATGTTTAACTGTACGTCAATCTTCGATAAGAAATGTTTTATAATTTTATTATTTATTTATTATTTAGCTACTTTTACTTTCATTGTTTCCATGTAAAGGCGAACATTTCTTGTGAGTCCTTGTATCACACGGGGCCAAAAACATAAGTTTAGGATAATTAATTTCAAAGATCTTAATGCTGTTCACCTTTGTTCGTGATAAAGTGTTAAAAATTAGAATTAGAGAATTAATTATAGAAAATCTTACTTCTCACCATTTAATGGTTCAGAAAACGATTCTGATTCGATACTGAACTTCGTGATCTACATTAAATCGAACATTTAAATAAAGTAATCATGATTGTATAATTTTACTCTTGTGCTCTTGTGTTTGTATAACTCTCCTCTACTGGTACAGAAACTTTTATTAATATAAGCTATTATCGTCCTTAGGTTGAATAACAGCTTCCATTCGATTTTTCATCGAATAAATAGGTCTTTTTACAAAATCCTGTAGTATCCCGTTCTATTCCTGTTCCATTAGTCATGGCACGAAGGTCTCTGAGACTCTGAGAGCTGCTGCCCATGTTGAAATGCATTCAAACGGCGATTTCATATTGATGTTTTGACAAGTAAACTGTCGTCTGTTCTTGTCCAAAATTTGACATATGACGTAGCAAAGCAAAAATTTTGTTGTTAGTTTACAACTAAAAAAGCTTGAACTTGTAAACAGGAAAAAATCATGAAGTAAATAATTTGAAAAACGAAAAATTTTGTAAATGAAACCAAAAAAGATCCCTGCCCCCCCGGATTCAAGGTATTGATGGTCAAGTCATCTTTGTTTCCATTTTCCATGTATAGAGAAGTAAGTGTCAAGTAATCCCTTCGCTTTTGAAAATGTAAAAATTGTTGACTGCCACATTTTCATAAGCGCGGACATGGATTTGATGGTTTGAATAAATCTTCTTTTTATTTTCTTCTTAGCAGATTGGATTTCTTTGTTTGCATTTTCAAGTTTGCTGTTGAGTTCCAACATTCTAACAAACTATTCAAACATTCTAACTAACTATGAGTCGTATTTTGCCCACTGTGGCGAAGAAGGAAAATGGAAATGCCATCAAACAGGAAGAAAAAAAAATATTTTTGAATAAAGCTACTAATACTGATTACACAGCTTTCACCGCATTAAACGAAAGAAAAACGGGAGGGGTGCAGAAAAAAACTTCAGAAAAAGTAACTGATACAGAAGGTAAAAGGCTTCTAAAGTCAGGCCACAAAAATGGAGAAAGAAAAAGAATATCAGCGGATAATAAAGATTCTACCATATTTAACAACAGTAAAAAGGGAGAGGAGAGAAAACTTATAGGACGGGCTATCTTTATTGGCAGCACAAAGTCTTCCACATCAAAGCATAGCAAGAAGGCAGAAGGGAAAAATATTTTACGTAAAACTAACAACATCATTAACAATCTTTCCCTTTTATCATCAAATGATTATAAAAATGAAAAAAGGAAAAGAGTTTTAGAAAAGATTGCTACTGCTGCCCGCAAAGGCTTTCCCACATCGAGTGAAAGTAAAAAGACATTGGCTGATAAAGCTACAACAATCGATCGTAAAGATTATCTCGCGCCAAGTGGTAGCAAACGCACCAGTGGTAAAACGAAAATGCTTTCAGATAAAGCTACAACTGTTACATCAAGCGAAAGTAGGCGTTCATCCTCATCAAGTGACTTCAAAGACATTGCAACATCAAATGATAGCATATACCCTTCGAATGCAAATGTTGGGCGGCAATTAACTAATACTAAGGAAAACTCCACTGAAAGTTTTCTGCTTGCTTTTGCTCCTGTAATAGAAGGCCTTTCCACTAATCAGAAATGGAGAGCACGCGTAAAAATAGCTAAAATTATACATGAAATGGAAACTGAACAAGGGTGAAAACTCATTATGTAATTCAATTCGTTTGTTCAAATATCATTATATTTGAATAATTAAATTTATAATAAAGTAACTTTAGCTATAATAGAAATCAAAGATCGGAACCCAATTTTATGTTTTTGTTTCATAAAATTGACCAAAGCCCAGTTTATATATATATATACATAATGATAGTAATGTACGGCATAAGCAACGGACCAAATGCTTGTAAGGAATACCGTTATTTAAAAGTTCGTTGGAAGAAATGTTCTTCTTAATGAACGTAGGCATCATACTCAATATCTATTAGAGCCATATTAGGTATTATTCGTGATAATCCCGTTGCTATTGCGGTCACAGTTTGAGAAACGGCAAACGGTAACGACAGCAAACAATAAAAAAACCGAAGTATGTAACATTGCACAATAAAAACAAATGAGATCGCTATGGTTGGTCAAGGATGGTGGTTAGATAGCCTCCACGACTTCACCCAAGACAGTTTGTCAATCATTTGTTTTCTTAATAGTACAACAAATATTACACATTATTTTTATATAAATGCACAATTTTCACGCAGGGCTTCCCATTGAAGGACACTCGAAATTTCGACTAATGTAGTCGAAAACTTTACTATTTCCAATTGTTTCCTTCATAACACAGACAA